CACACACACACACACACACACACACACACACACACGCGCACGCACGCACATACACACACGCACACTCACACACAATACACAAACAAATATATGTACGCTAATTTTTAATTTTTATTTTTATTTTTATTTTTTATTTTTTTGTTTGTCTTAATTGATCTATTTAAGTTTGTAGTATCACCCATAATATTATAATCAGCTAAAAGATAAAATTACTTTTTTATGAAAGGGCGGGGTCTCCTAATACAGGCAAATTATTTGCTTAAAAGGGGATCTCAACCACAAAATTTGAAATTTTGATTAGATTTGAAATAAATAAATAAATAAATTTTAAATTAATCAATTAATTATATGTAAATTTTTATTTCAAATGTAAATGTATATTGTTATCTAATTTATAGTTTTTATTGTTGTTGTGTTATAATAAATAAATTATTATTATTATTATTATTATTTATCTAAAACAACAATGTACACGTCTATACAAAATAATTTTTATACATATTAAACAAATTTATTTAAATAAAGGATTATTTAAATAAAGGATTACTCCATGTCCTTAACCTGGAACTCGCGATAAGAACAAGTAAATAATATAATTCCTTTGACCTAAAAAGCTATTGAGGTCAAATGGACATGGTACAGAACTAGAGTTAGAAAATTGTTACCTTAATATTTCAACAACTATTACCGTTTTAACTTCAGGATTCTGCTTCATCACATCGTTGTTCCAGAACTTTAAAGTGCTCTGTAACATTCAAAGGATTTTTTTTACCCAATCAATCGTTAGATTTGTATTAATAATGCAAATGTCATAGGGTATATTAAGATTATAAAAAAATGGCGGATTTTAGGCATCACAGACCTAGTCTTAAAATTCATATTTTTAAAAGTACACGTTTTATACTTTTATATATCAAAATAAAATTTATTAATGAATTGTTGTAACACTGTGAAGAGGATAAGTTTTATTTTTTAAAATCAAACTTATATAGTCGATACTAAAAAAATCACACAGAACAAACCTTTTTATTCATTTGAAATAAAAATATATAATGTGAGGTATATTTACTATGGAACGGCAGCAAGATTTCCTGTTTCCTTTTACTCTATGCCATAGTGGTTTTCGTGGTAAGAATAACAAATATTTCGTTGTGAAAAAAAAAATATATTATAATATGTTGTAACGTTATATATTTTTGTAAGGCAAAATCTCCATATTGTATTATTATATGGTAAACTAGCAGGCTTACCTTCGCTTTGCTCGGGTGCTTTTCTAGACGCCAAAAATAAGCCTATGTGTTGATCTTATCATAGGCATATTAGGGTCGGCAAGCCAGCCGGATGTGAACCCAAGAAACATACTTGGGAAACGGCCCACCTTAAGGTTTGGTTACTAAGCTTCCAAATCTGCCAAGTGGTGTCAAACACACAAACATACAAACTGTAGGCACAAATATATATATACACACATTCTTTTTATACTTTTCCATTTTTATTAAGACCTTTTTTTATTAACCTTTTTGTAAATTACATTGGTGACAAAGTTTGTAAAAAGAAGAATATAGTGACATTGATGATGATGGTGTTCTCCTAGCCGATTCCGGCCACGGCGGCCAATCTCATTGAGACTAGCCAACTGAGCAGGAGATATTATAGTGCACAAGTGTACGTGCAGACACAGGTGCACTCTCTATTCCTGTCACTCTCATACTCCGGTGGGACGACTGCTCGACACGACCAGTGAGAGTTAAGGCGCAGGACCGACGGCTTTACGTGCTCTCCGAAGCACGGGGGTGAAACACCGCCAACTTCCCAACTCCGGGCTGTTACTGAGACTTACTATACAGAAAGACTCAATAACTAAACTTGGCCCGACCCGGGACTCGAACCCAGGACCTCCGAGTGTGCAGCCGTACATGCTAGCCACTACACCACCGAGGCATAGTGACATTATAGGGTATACAAATAGTAAGCACGATTTTTATTTCTATGTTTAATAAAATAGATTAAAATAATTAAATATTGCTGCAACGGCAGAAAAACTTCGCATTTATAATACTCTTAAATAATAATAATAATAATCTTTATTCAAGTGACCAGTGACTCATATGGTTAGTAAACAATAATTCTTAGAGACTAGGTTAGTTATATTATTACATTTTTTTTAAGTTAATGTTACATACAATATACACAAATCACCGCTGCACCATTCCGTTTGCAACGGCACAGCAGCGATTCATGTATATGCAATCCAATCTATTTGCTATCATGCTCAGAATTCTATTGGCACTACCCCGCACCCTACGCACCAGAGACCCACACCTTTTTCTCATGAGGGCGTAAAAACAATCAACACGCGCTTCAGCGAACATCCCTGAGGCGCTGCAGTATCGAGGTAGCCCCAACAGCACTCTGAACGCGTTATTGTATTGAACGCGGAGAGCACTATAAGATTTTTGAGTATATCCTGCCCATAGGCTGCACGTGTAAAAAGATGTACAATATGCTCTGAATAATGTTATTTTAACGTTGGGTGAACTACGTGCAAACCTACGAGCAAGCATATTCGCTCTCACCGACAATGCTCTCCGCTCCCGTTCAATATCAGTGTCATCTTTTAAATCAGAGGTCAGATAGTGTCCGAGATATTTAAAACTATCCACCCTATCCAGTATAAAATTGTTTAGTAATACCGGTGGTAAATCTTTAGTACACTTGCCTCGGACATTAAACACCATTATTTGGCTCTTTTTTACATTATAAATTAAGCCATGTGACTTAGCATACGACTCACATATAGACAATAATTTTCTTATGCCACAGACGGACGCACTCAGCAGCACCATATCGTCAGCGTAGCTAATGTTATTTACACATACACCATCTATGTAACAGCCAACTCTGGTACTGCTGAGCTCAGCTATTAACTCATTCAGATAAATGTTAAAAAGGGTTGGCGAAGTCAAACCCCCTTGTCTCACGCCACACTCGAGGCCATACGGCCGAGACAACGCTCCCTCCCATCGTACATTGTTGACCTGGTTACCATACCAATATTTAAGAATGTTGATGAGCTCTATAGGTAAACCGCTTTTCTGAAGTTTCTTCCATAAAATATTGTATGAGACCAGGTCGAAAGCCTTAGAGAGATCAAGGAAACAAGCAACGATTGGCGTTTCTCTCTTTACATAGTAGGTGACAGCACTCTTAAGACACAGCACTGCGGTTTCTGTTGATAGACCCGGTTTAAAACCAAACTGATTGTCATGTTGTTGGACGTGCACATTAAGCTGTGTATTAAGAATGCTGTCAAATACTTTCGAAATGACAGTTGCCAACGAAATGGGCCTATAGTTATTCTTATCAGCGTTGTCACCCGTTTTATTTTTGACTATAGGAACCACCACCGTACGCATCATATCATTCGGCATATAACTATGATTTAAGCACATGTTAAATAATATACACAAAACACGGGGTAAGTCAGGACCAGCCGACTGTAAATGTTCAATGCTAAGACCATCGTGACCAGGTGACTTACCTCTGGTCATTGACATTATAGTTTCAGCAATACTTTTAGTTGTAATTTTTGTCAACCTGTTCACTCCGGTCCCAGCATCCTGCACACAATTCGACCGACCAAGTGGTGACTTTACAGAAAAGTGATTCATGAATAGATTAGCAATCTGCTCAGGATCAGTTAGACCGCTAATGCTCACAGGGATACCCGGCTTCGGTTGCAATCTGTTAGTTTGCTTCCAAAAAGAACGAAAATCTTTTTTTGTATGATGTGATGCTAATATATCCATTTTAATTTGTTCCGCGTGGTCTTGGCACCATTTTAAACGCGATTTAAATTTCCTTTTAACCTCACACATACTTTGATAACAAGAACCGTTAGTCGGCCTTCCTTGCAACGACCATAGCTCAAACTTTAGCCTGGCATCCGTGTGAGCAGCAGCGACATGTTTATTCCAACCTGGTACTACCCGCCTGCCACCCCTCCTACGTACACAACTTATAATGGCAGATTCACTTAAAACATCTACAATATTTTTGTAAAAGTTATCTATGATACTTCTGTGACTCGGATCATAGCAAATGACGTCACCACACTTACTAAGTTCATGTGGGAAATCTATGAAACACAACTTTTCATGACATTCCTTCAAGTAAATTTCAATCTGTTGTGGGTCCCTGTCACCCCACACGACTTTGCTGCATTTTATATTTGATTGCATTTTTATTATTGGAATCACATTCAAATTACATTCTACAATTAATGGAAAGTGATCCGACCACGTCATATCATAGTTTACATACACTTTTTTAACTGTTTGAGCGGCTGCTTTGGCCACCACACAATGGCCGAGCCATCGCTTAGAACCATTAGCTTCACTAATAAACGTGTAGATATTAGAAAAAGGATTTAACATGTCAAAGTCTATGCATACCCATTTTTGGTCATTACAAAAGGCTATAAGCTCATCATAGAATCGCTCAAAAGGGTGAGCGTTATAGTCACCAAGAATATAAGCACAGTCCACATTACAATTGTCTATGATTGCACTTACCGAGCTCATAACGTCCGTAAACTCCGTTAAGTTAATCAGTGAATCCGTCGGCATATATAAACTCACTACTAAGATTGTCCTTTGATTTAACACCATTTTCACTGCACATACGCGAGAACTATTACACTGTACGACGGTTACATTTTGAAAGATCTTACGCCTCCACAGCAGGGCTACCCCGCCATACGGTCTACCACGCAGGATTCCCACCGAGGTATCAACGGCTGACACGCCTGTACAGCTGAACTCGTCGCTGATGGTGTTTATAAAAGGTATTTCATCAGGCAACAGCCATGTCTCCTGGAGCGCCACTACATCAGCTGTTTTACATAAATCACGGATACTATCTACAGATCTTTTCACGTTCTTACAGTTAAATGTAGCAAACTTATAAATATTTTTATTTTTATCCATTTTGTGTTTTTATAACTGAGCCGATATTTCTATTTCGTGACACTTTAAAATTAATAAAGCGGCGAAAAATAATCCCTTTTGGCCATAGACTCTCGTCCAAGAACAGAGGGACTTTACTTTGTAATACAAAAAATTTATATGCATTATATTCACATTCACGTTGTATGGATATTTTCTCAAGTCTGTTTCTTGAGTTTTCTTATGTATATACGTAGTGATATCCGATTCAGAGGTATTTTTATGAACATTTGTAATGAATAGGGGTGTGTGTCGCCCTGCAGCTCTGAATTTTTCCTCCGCATCAACTACCACACTCCCTGTTTTCCCTTCAATATAATTCCTTCTCTTTCGTCCTTTTTTTTGGACTAGTTTCCACCCCTCATTTGGGTTTGATTTCGCTTTCGACTTTGTGGCTATCGCATAAGACTTGTTTTGCGTTGTCGTATCGCCATCACTCAGCTGACATTCTTTGCTGTCGGGTGACTCATCGCTTACCGGTCGCACTGAGGGACTTTTGCTCACAGTAATTTCATTACTACCGTCCACGCTAATTTTGTTTAAACTTTTAAAACGGGGACTATCAATATTTGGAAGATTTATTTCATTTTCGTAATGACTTATAGCCGATTCATCCATATTTGTTAATCCTATAGGACCGCTATCTTGGTACGCGCCCCTTTTAATGTTTATATTAGCAGCAGAAAAGGGGGGTAACGCATATTGAAACTTTAAAAGATCCCTTTTTACGGCTTCCAACTGGTCGATGGATACATAAGAGGACTTAATAATATCAATTTCGCTACGAACCAACGCCAAATCCTTCAGGAGCTTAGATGTATCCAAATGGTCGAACAAAATTGGGGGCAGTTTTTCTAGATCCCGCGCTACGAACACAGGGAGTAGGTCAGGATTAGTTACTTTGAAGAAACTGAATATATCAAATAAAACACGATTCTCTTTTCCCTTCCCTTTTCTAATCGTTTTACGTTGATCTGACGGAACAGATTCAAAAAGTAACTCCTTGGACTTATTTATTTGTTCAATGGAGAACGTCGAAGCACATATCTTAACTAAACTCTCTTCGTCAGCTATCGATATTTTATTTTGTATATACGATAGTAGTTCGTCTATCACGATATTGCAACTGTTACACTTAATCGTACACGACATTGTTACTCACACACAACGTACACGCCCGGCGATAACGGACGTTAAAAGTGAGCTTTAATAATTATAAGTTGTGATATCATTTGTAGGAGCAAAACAAAGCTTAGAAAATGATATCCATACTTCCATACGCAATATTATAAATTTGAAAGCGTGTTTGTTTGTTTGTTTGTTTGTTTGCTTGCTTTCTTTCTCATCGAAACGGCTTGGCGGATTGGCGTGATTTTTTGTGTGGAAATAGTTGGAGGGCTGGAAAGTGGCATAGGACACCTTTTACCTCAGAAGATTATTTATTTCCCACTGGAAAACACGTTATAATACAATCCAAAAAAATATTTATGATCAGAATTACTTGAAACTCTTCAATTCAATTAATTAAATACGTGTTTTAGCATTTTCCGAAAATGGGGTAAAATAGCGGATGAAAGTTTGTATGAAACCTACTATTTTAGAGATTTTTTTTGTAATTTTAGCACGAGCGAAGCCGCGGGTTTTTCTAGTCTATATATAAATAGACGAACACAGTTCACTTTTTCTCCTTTGTTTAGTAGTAAGTATATCTTTATTGTTACCAATAAAATAATTTTGGAAACAGTTTTTTTATATAGATAGGCAAATTCTATTAATATATATTTTTCTCCAATTTTCAATAATAATTATGGTCGAATTTTACATACTAGGTGAAACTACTACTAAGTAAAAATACTGAAAATTTATATAAACATAAGTAAAGATTGCTAGATCTTTATCATATGAAGTTTTTACTCTTCAATTTTTATTTAAATATTTTTTTTAATTTTTATTTTGTGTTTCAGGCCCTATTACATTTATTGTTATTAAAGAATTATAAACAAAATGAGTTACTGTGATATAATAAATTTGCTCCTTGTCATAAATTTATATTCATTTATGTACGTAATATTGCTTAGTTATCTTGAGTAGGCAAAAGTTAGTTTGTACAATGAGCTTGGAAGCGGAACATAGTTGTGTTATTATCAGGTGAGATCACAGAACAAACTACTTAAAACTTGTCTAACTTGAAATGCCGAATTGAGTTGGAGTTTTGACTTTTCGTTATCTATTCACCTGTTCATTTAATTCGATTAATCTTAGCGACATTTTTGCTCCTTCAGTCAGATTCATAATTATTATATAAATAGAACTATAATAATTAAATTGAATTGTTTTTAGAGGTCTCACAAGAAGGTGTTATGTTATCAGAATCAGAATGTATAAATAAGGCTGTTTGTTTGTTTATTCGAAACTTTGTAACGCCTGAAATAATTTTAATGCACGATGTGTCTGTCGTTAGATTATTGACATAGTTGAGTAACTTACATCGATTTCATGAGAAAAAAGTCTATTAATATAACGTTTACAGATATCACATTTTTTTATTCTGTATTCCCTAAACATAAAAGTCTATTTCTAAACATAATGTATTATTGTCTATTGAATATTGACTACACGGCACACCGCACAATCTTATTGGGAGATGCACTTTTATATTGTGTCGATTTGGTTTTGGCTATTGATCAGATAATTTCGTACGCGAGGCAGCAGGCTGGACGACACTCGTAAATTCGGCCTTTTATGACCCATTAAATTGCCGATAATACGGGCCAACGACTGTTACATAAAGATTTTACAAAGTAAAGGCCGCATGCGTTGCTCTCATACATATGTATGTATTTGTATTTACAGCTACATTAACTTTTGGTAGTTTACTGCTAACCTTTTCTAATCCATACTAATATTATAAATGCGAAAGTAACTCTGTTTGTTTTTGTACCTTTTCACGACTAAACCGCTCCCGGAAATCATTCCTTAGGGGGTAAAAGTTTTTATGGATGAATCAATCATTTCTCAAGTAAGGGGTATACTACAATACATATATATATATACATATATATGTAGTGTAGTACTAATATATACGTACTAATATATATATAATAGTATGTAGGTACTAATGTCTAATTTAAAAATATCAAATAAACTTAGAATTTTTGTTTGACAATGTTGCTAGTTCTTTGCTAGTTAATTACTAGAGAAGAATACAATTTAGGTATACATAATATAATATAGCTACTCAATAATATACAAAAATTACATTCAAAAACAATCCAAGACATAGGTATATTTCTTAAAGAATAGTAAATACTCAAACGACTAAAAATTGAGTCATTCCGACGGGTAATAACCTGGGAATTGTAATAGTATTTTTAATAATATTCATGGTAATTATGTTCCACTGCATTATGAAGGAAGGAAGAGCTAATAAATTGCTCGCTGTGGCTACGCTAACAATTCCGCTGAATTAATTCGAGGACGTGCCTTCGTTTGTTTGTACGACCATAATACCTTTACAACGATAAAATTACTCTAAATCTAAAAGTACAAAGCTAAATTTTGTATATTTTGAATTTGTACAATATCGGATACTTTATTTTTATATCTACGTTGACTTGTGTATGTATGTCTGTAAATTAGTTTGGTTGCTCAACTTAGCTTGCGATGGTTTTACATCTCTCTTCTTACATACTAGTGGTCGATCTCTGCTTAGTTCATGTCTTAACTATAACACCTTACGTGTTCTTTCCTTTCGTGTAATCTCTTATAGTTTTTCTATACTTAAAATCGGTACATTAAGTACTGATATAAATAGTCTATATTTTTTATCATATATTAGATATTTACTCTCCTTTACAGTATATCTACATTTACGTAAGTAGTCTGTAATTTATGAGAAATAGCGAACTAACAATAAACTGCAATTATAATATCAAAAAGGATTTCCTAACAGAAGACGATAACAATCTTTTTATAATCTGAGAACGTTTTTTGAAATCTGTAAATTTTATGAAAACTTTATAGTACAATCTTTTATCGCTCGTGCTGGAAAACCTTTTTTCTTTTAGAAAAAATCATGGTAGTTTAAAAATAAAAAAATACTTATAGATACTATAGTAAAGATAGGAGCATAAAAACAACGAGGTTTGGCAATCCCCAAGCAAAATACGGATAATGAGAAAACAGTCCTAACGATTACTTTCCTAAGATCCGATAAAGCCGTCGTTTTTCTTCGATAATCCTAAAAAATTGTAGACAGTTGAGTGTTGAGACGGTGCGGAAGCTTTTTAATCCATTACAATACAAATTACACAGTAAAAATGTTTATAAAATATTTAAATATATTTTACTAAAAGTAGTATTCATTTGGATACTGAATAGATATTAGATATATATGTACATACTACATATGCGTGCTTATTGACAAACTGTTCACATAGATGCACACTTTATAAAAATTTAGTATAATATATAACATATATATGTTGTCGAAATGGCAATAAAATAATTATAATAGTGAAAATACTAGGAAAATATACTGTATATTTAAATTTTAGAATTATTTTTTAGAGTTTTATAACTATAGAATAGGCTAGTAGGCAGCAAATTGTTCTTCTTCATAAAAAACTTAAAAATTCAATAGACATTGAGACTTAATCTGTAATTAAATAGCTAAATAGCTGCTCCTTAAATGATATATACGATTCTGGCTTATATTTTATATTATAAATAACGTAAAACTATAAAAATAAAATGAAGTATGAAAATGAACAAATTGTATTAGTAACACGAAAAAACCAACATAATTTTTACACTGGACCTTCTTGTGTAAGCAAATAATTAACTTGTTTACTTTGTGGTTTGAAAGAAAAATCCTTTATGAAATGATTATGGAAATTACACACTAAGGTCGTCTTACATTTCTTATACAGGGGTGAAATATTTTTTCTAAGCTAAGGTTTATATTAAAAAGTTTATTACATTTGGCGGGTCCTTTATGCTTTTATATATAAACGTAGAGCGGTGGCTGTTTTGTTATAACTTTTAATGTAATATAAATGTTTTTGTAATAGGCTTCGTGTAATAAATTGAAATTCAAAAATTATATCTGCCTAATATATATTATACTCCTCACTCTAATTTATCTTACACTCTAATTTATATTATGCTAATATTTATTTGAAGGTTCCTAAAGAATTTAAGTGTCTATTTTCAAAAAATACATATTTATTTATTTATTTGAGAACTCCAACACGCTTCTCTGGAAGGTTTGTACTGATTTTAATAGGATTTCAGAGGCGTCCACAGTATCCGGGTGTAGCTAGTACACATTACTTTATATTCTGGGAAGAAAAAGGGAACCCGTGTCTAAGAAGATGAACAGTTTTACCGATTTCGTAATCTAATTTATCACCATAATCTGAGCCACAACCAAAAACAATTTTGATGGTGCCTAAAACCATAACAATTTATTTTCACATCCTATAAAAATAAAATTATATAAACGAAATACAAGTCAATTAACAATACTGTCTTCTTTAAAAGCTTTTATTACTAATGCGACTTTCTTTACATCGGTATGCACATACCATTAGCTACTTTTATACACACCATAATTAACTACTAATAATATTTTTTTATGGAAAATTTAATACTTAACCGGCTAGCTAGCGTATAGCAGTTTGATAAAGTTAAAATAAAAATAAAATTATAAGGGTTACAAAGTCGTCTGCTTACGAAACCTTATAAAGGATTCCTTTATTAATGTACATATCGAAGCAACATTAATTTTCTCTATTATTTTCCATTATTTTATCATGGATTATACAGTGGGCGTTATATGGGAAGTGTTGGTTCAAATAAAAGTCGATGCAATCACAGTTGTATTTCAAATTAACAATAATCACTTTGTACATAGTTACACAGCACTTCACTACACAACCATATAGCAAGCACTTCACTTCACTATTACCACGTATAGACAATACGGAACGCAAGACAGTTTCTACTAGTGTTCACTGTGCGACCGACCAAGCGTAACTCAGCCGAGCCCGGTCGAATGTCACAACGTAGACTCTGTCGAGCCCAAAAAGGTGGCGCTCGCGTTCCGATTAGTTGTGATTATGACTCGTCTCCGACACGGCCATCCTGCA